AACACGGATGAAGTGTACTTCACCGGCGAGAACACAGAAAATCGTCATCCGTGCAAAATATGATGCTTGGCAGCCAATTTTTCTTTTTTATTAGATTTGCTTTTTTTATATAGAATCAAAACGAATTTGGCTGGTTTAAATAAGCTATTCAAACGCTATTAGTTTAAGCGTATCAAGCAGTTGAATATTATTCAAACGCTAATAGTATCAAGCACTTAATTCTCCCTACAAGACCTATAATTTATTTCCAATTTCTAACCTTACGTGACCTCACTAATGACAGGTCAGGAGCCACGCCTCCAAGAATGTTCGAAAAATAGAAAAGACACGGTGAAATTGTCGTTAAAGTGTGGACTTTTATGGTACACTGTAAAAGTAAGAAAATAAATGGGTTTAGATGGAAAGGAAATTGCTTTATGGTGATTTATTTTTGTTCAAATTCGAACTGCCAAAAATCCCAACTAAGTGTCCACGTCTACGATTAATTGGCAATACGTCGCTCATTACGTGATATTCTTGTTCCTTGTCGAGAGATAGGTAGCCTACCTGAGCAGGTCAAGCACAAAGCAAATCTTTACTTAAGAATGTCAGTATGTGAAAAAAAAAAAAAAAAAAATTGGGTTCATTCTTTGCACGCAATTAATGTGTGGGTCTTTTTAAAATTACTTTTCTCAAAATTAAAAAGAGTGCTGTCACGGCTTCGATGATGCTTGTTATTAAATTGCGTGACAGATCAGTCAAGTGATCGAACTACGTTGAATGGTCGTCGATTGTTGCAATGTAACAGGTGTTTTCATGTTTACCAGCGCAACACCGAGAAGCGTACGGATAGGATACGTCACCAACATGAAGCCGACTTAATTAGCGAAGGTCGCTTGTGAAAAGTAGAAAGCAGAATTTAGCACGAAACAAACTAACATGTCATGACGAGCCACACACTTAAAGACGAGGTCAAGAGGTGAGTCACAGCAGATTTTGTAAATGTTTCTCGACCCGTTTATGTTACGTGTTCCCCTAAATTCTGCTCTGGTGCATATTTAACATATTCCATTCATTTTGCTTCGCTTAACAATTAGAGGAGCTTCACACTGGAAACTTTTAACTGCAAACATGTGAAGTGTTAACTACTTCAAAATGGCGGATACTGAAGATTGGCTTAAACACGAAGGCGCGCCATATAAGGAAGTCTTCCCTGGGAAGACCAAGGCTCATTTGTCACTCACCGTTGACGTGTGCGGGTCAAATTTAAATGCTGGTAGACGAAGAAAAGGAGCTAATGAGATATCTATTGTTTACTTCCACCAGCATGGGNTTTAAAATTACCTAAAAGATTAGAAATACAATACGTACTGATAATGTGAATATTAAGATTTACATAGAATACAGTTCTTTCAATTGTCCGAGGAGATTAAACTTTGTATATCTAATGAATTTAAAGCACTTTTTAATTCTTGTAGCGTTCTTGGAGTTCTTGTTTTTCCTTGTAACTTAGACCAGATTACTGGACCTAAGTACCTAAGAGAGTGCTTACCATAACGTGTTGTGCTTACCCTGGGAATTTTTCAGAAATTCCCTCCCTCTTTTATTCGCAACAAGGTTAGCATTTACTCATTAAAATGCATACAATAAATCATATTATCGATCCTCAGGATTATTAGGGAAGATATATGATTGAAAATATCGTTACACTCAAAAAGTTGTAAATGTATAGATAAAACATAATTTTGCAAAAAGGCTTCTATTTATTTATTCCTTAAATTCACCATTGAAAAATTTGTTATTACTCGAACACCAGGAAACAACACTCAGGCGCACCAGGCTACGGACATAGGAAGTGATCTGTTTTTTGTTGACGATTTTCATTATTTGAATGTGCCTCGGGTTGGAATATTTTCGGTCCTCAACGACATTGAGTGTACCTTAAGATGTCTTCAAAATCCTTCGTGCCTTCCTGTGAACCTAGCCCTGGGAATAAGACTATGGTGCGAGCTTCTGTCATCTGATAAGTACAGCTACCCCGAATAATTCCAAAGGAATAAAAGTTCCCACTACTTTTCCATTGTGGTAAGGAATGCTTTTCTTGTAATTAGGTAATAACATGCCTTTCTCTTAATTATAAAATTATTCAAGGAAAACAAGGGCAAAGATATCCCTACGAAAACCTACACAATTTACTTTGGCCCCTGAATTAATACTTGTCTAGCTTTCAGATTCAGGACAAGCTTGTGAATCAAGCCGAATATAGTTCTTTTTCCATTTAACTATTGGTTCATGCTTTAGCGTGCACTATCGAGTTATGGAGCACGCGGGAAGTTTGGAGAGCACGAAAGAAGCGTAAGAGTTGCCCGAGGCGATAGCCGAGGGCAACTCTAGCTTCTTGAGTGCTCTCCAAACTTCCCACGTGCTCCATAACTCGATAGTGCACAGCTGAAAGCATGAACCAATTGTTTTAGAACATAGCCGGTGGAATTGTGCATCAAATGCGACGCGAAAAACGGACAACAATATCAGTTGAAGCGAATCGTGACGGCGCTGATGCCGAGTCTCCTTTTCCTTTGTTTTTCTCTTTTTCTGCCTCATTTAAGAACTCTAGCCCATGGGAAAAGGTCGAAACATTGTCTTCGTTTTCGGACTAGCAGGCCGAGTTTCTGTTTGTATCCATTATTGTCGCGAAATGTATTATTTTTCCCCGCACTAGCAATGGCCGCTCGCGCGAAAAAAAAATTTCTGGCGAAGTCGGATTTGCTGNTTAAATCGTCTATTTCTTAGGTCCACTACTGTGGAACATGTTCCAAAACGACATACGTACAATATCACGTAAACGAGTCTAATCTGACAATGTACGCTGACGATCATCAATTCTACGCAACTGGAAAAGCCAACGAGGCTGTTGATTCTGAACTGACGAATCAAGGCCGACTAGCATTAGACTGGTATAAAAATAATTTTCTCCTTGCTAACCCTGATAAGTTTCAATTCTTATCCATCAATCCAAGAAATATCCATAGCGCAAATAGTGACAGTGTCTTCAACATCAACAACCAAGATATCAACAAAATGGAACAAATAAAACTTCTAGACGTCTACATGGACGAAAACCTTAACTTTGCCAGTCACATCAGCGACCTGTGCACTAGAGTTAGCTAAAAAGTGAGTGTGCTGGTACGATTGCGCAATTTAATTCCATGAACGCTTCGTTAACATTATACAAGAGTGTCATACTACCTTACTGCCACCTTATATGGAATTTCTGTAAGGCATCCGATAGTAGAAAGATTGAACGGGTACAGAAACGCGCATTACGCGCAGTATATAAATCTAAGACGGAAACGTACGAAGATCTTCTCGTTCGTGCTAGACTGCCGACTCTAAAATAACAGGCGGCTACAAGATATCGCCATTCTGATGTAAAAAGTTAAAAACGATCTTGTCCCAAGCAGTGCATCACGATTATTCAATTGTAGCAATTCTCAATATTCCCTTAGAAACTGCAGCTTTGAAATACCCCGTTTTAATACCATAGGTTACGGAAAACATACAATAAGATACCATGGCCCATATATCTGGTCAAAACTTAGTAATGGATGTCACCCACCCTGGCGACATTGAAGAACAGAATAAGGAAAATCGCCCTTTCAGATCTCATTAAGAATAACAGCAGTTGCTGTAAACTATGTAAATCGTAAACGCGAAACTACGATAATTCTTTATTTATTGTAACATTTTATTAAGTTATTTATTGTACTAATTATCATACTGTAAATAATTTTAATATTTATTTTTAAGTCATCTTGTACTTATTGTAAGCTTGAGACTTAGTTAGGTGTCCTCAATTAGCTAATTTAAAGCTAAATACATTGACACGTTAATAAAGTTTTATCATTATTATTATTATTATTAATCTTCCTATCTACTTTTTCTTGTTACTGATTTCCATTTTCAACCTTGGCTTACCTGTACAGAATAACACCGTCTTTGTAATCGCACTGAAAACGTCATAACTGTACGTCAAAAACCAATATCGCAAAAAGTAAAGTGCCACCTTAAGATAAACACGACTTTGCTGGCTGTAACGAGGTTAATTGTGTCATATTAAAAAGAAATGTTCTCTTTCCTCCCTTTGCTTCGCAAGGGTGCTTGCGCTGAAAATCCTTGCAAGAACAACGCCACCTGTCGAAGCGGTTTTACTCGCAAAGCTTATTGCTGTCTGTGTCCTGCTGGATTCAAGGGTGCGAGGTGCGATGCAAGTAATCAAGAAACGTCTCTTTTATTTCATGGTATCTTCAATTCAGCACCCTTAAAATAGTTTCTAAAGGTAAAGGCTCCTTGACAGGTATTGACATAATTTAGTGTGTTGGAGGGTTACACACGAGTAATGTAGGTGCCTTCTGCAGGACGCCTTGATTGGGGGGACTTTCCGGTAAAGTTTTGTCAAGAATTACAAGATTTCTATTTATTATAGAAAGAAAAAAACTCCACATGTATCTGGTCTGAACCTCAATGACTCCATTTCTCTTAAAGGTGTTTTTTTCCTTCCTTTGTTTTTTTTTTATAGGTGACGATATGTTTGGCCATTTCTTTTTTAGTTAACTTTTGAAACTCATCATAAAACTTGGAAAAATAGAAGCTGCAAAAGGAAAAATTCAGAAAGTTATTTCTCATTGTTAATTACCAGAAATATCTACTACAAAGACCTAGTCGTGCCTCCATGCCACAATAACTTTCCATCAATCTCCTTGTGGCGGTAATTTAAATATCCTGTTGAACTAATGAATGTCGATTTTCGCGTCTCAGAACGTGGATCAGTTAGGTTTGATTGGCTTGTCAGTATGCTTGTATACGCATGCGTCTAGCCTCTTATAAACGCGAACATTTGCTGGACAGGTGAGCAAAGCTTCGATACGCAGGAGACATCACTTTTCTAAACCTAACGTACCTTCTGGACCTTCTGAAAAGTTGTTCCTTGAGACGTCTTCTTTCTGCCATGGTCTGTACTACTCATGGTTACGTTGGATTTTAACACTTTTGCTCTATCTGTGGTTGCCTTTGATAATTTGTGCGAAAGGTGAGCTATAATTTGAATTCTTTTAGTTTCTATATTTTATCTGGTCCGTCGAACATGCAATACAGAACTAGCGAGACTCTTTCCGAAGTGAAAAAAAGCAGAAAAAAGAAATTATCACACGTATTTGCAAATGATCTCGTATCTAGAAAAGTGTGATCTTTGCCTCAGGAGTAAAACAGAATATGGATGCTACAGAAGAGATGTTTGCTTCGCTTTACTGCGGCTGCTTGTCAAAACATTAAGCATTGTAACTATTAAATATCTTGAGTTAACTTTGCTCAACTACGTTTTTCGACAATCCAAATAGAAATTTGTGGAGTAAAACTTAGGCAATTACTAAATTTAGAAAATTCGCCTCAAGATTTAGGAAATTAAATTTCCATTTCGTAACAACTGACTTCAATAAAACCAAGCATAACAAATGGAGAATGCATAACGCGTTAAGTAAAGGTAGATTACAGTGGGAGAACTAAAGCGTTAAATCCTCAGTTTGGAAAATAAAAATTCTTTATTTTGCAAAAGAATTACGAGAAAAAAAATTAAATCATTTCTTGATAAAGAGAGTTTTAGAGGGGGCTAAAAAGTCAAATAAAACTTCTTCCTCGGTGCATTTTTCACTATGACTATTTGCAGTGTCAGTTTCAGAGCGTATGGTTAATTTAGTGTCTCAGCGATTTTTTATCATTTATAAAAACTTGAGGAATGCAAACAGATATTAAGCATTTTTGCGCAAACACAACATTATTGGTGTCAACATCATTATGATCCCTACCATCACTAGCATCTCCGTTAACATCATCAATACTATTATTTTCATCATTATTACTATAATTATCATTGCCAATATTTATTATTAATATTTGTGATAGCATAACAATTATTATTAAGTTTTAAACTCTGTCCGTTACAGGCTTAACGTGAGTAAGTTGGTCACTCTGATCATCAGCGAGAAAACAGTCTCCATTCTCTGTCAGATGGGGGATTTTGGATGTGGAGATGGAGGTTGGACGCGTGTGATGAAGATTGACGGCAGCAAGGTTTGAGTTTTTTATTCTCCCAATGCAATTGCCAAATCATTGTACCCAGTTTGTCGAAGTGCGTCCATCTGAACATTAATAACGAGATAACCGTTATGAAGAATTAGTCAGTCGATTTCGATTGGAATAAATGATCGGCCGTGCTCTTTTGAGACAAGCACAGACTTAAATGTTGCGTAAGTCTGCGTAAAGTTTTGTACGAAGCGTTACGTTAACTTTACGTACTACTTAAGGGTAAGTAAAGGAAGCTTTACGCGAAAGGAGCGTAAAGCCAGCGTAAACCTTGCGTATAGTTTGTGAGTCGACTTTACGGTTATTTACACCTAGTGTAAATGAAACGTAAAGTTGTTTCTTGTTTAGCCCAAATGGATCGAGCAAATAAAATGGCATAATTCTTTGAGATGCAGGAGTTTTAAAAGTTAAGCACAAATGATTATTTGTGCTAGCACAATGATGAAACATCACCAAAACAGTCTAAGCCTAGTTAGAGTTAAAAGCTTGCAACAATTTTCATTCTGAAAAATATGGTATGAACTGGGACTTTGTTATTGGTAAACATAACATCCGGATTGTATTCTAGTTAGGCGAAGCTGAGCAAATAAATCAATTTGCTTATTTCTCAGATTATGTTTTGTCGCTGGTTCTACAACCTTTTTATCGTTCCTTTTTTTAGGTTAGAAGCCGAGTTAAGAGTTAATTATTATTTATAACTAAACTGTATAGAAAACATGAAGGAATGAGTTCTTATTCCTTTTTGACAGGACACCTTATTGATAATAAGTAAGACTTTAGTGTTTAGTAAGTTATTTTATTGTTCCTCCGTCTGCTCCAATACAGCAGACACTAACCTCCTCAAACTACAAGCGGTCCAATGCACCAGACACTAATCTTCTCAAGCTACAAGCGGTCCAATACAGCAGACACTAACCTTTTCAAACTACAAGCGGTCCAGAATTTTGCAGCCCAGATCATCTGTGGCCTCAGAAAATTTGACCACGGGACTCCGCTTCTGAGAGAACTGCACTGGCTACCTATTAAATCCCAGCTATATTTCCGTGACGCCGTACTTGCTTTTAAATGTATGACCTGCTCCGCTCCTACTTATCTCTCCTCGAAGTTTCTAACACGTGGTGAGATAAGTGGTCGCACGATCAGAAGCTCCCAACTTCTGCATATACCCTTATATAGAACTAAATCTGGACAAAGGACTTTCTTTTATCGTACAGTAAGTCTATGGAACAGTTTAGATAATACCCTCAAACTCTCTAATTCTTCTCGTGATTTGAAGTGTGAACTTAGAGCCAAATTACTTGCTGCTTTCCTTTCTCATCGCTCTTAGTTGTAACTTTGGCGAACATTTATCAACTTTTAGCCTCCTTAATTTTTTTATTATACTTTTTAGTACTATAATTTTGTAATTTCTAGATTATTGTCACCGAAAACCCCTCTTTAGGGAGTGTCAATAAAGTTTGTATTGTACTGTATTGTGCCTTTCACTTTCGCAAATCTTATTGGACTGATAAAATCGAATACAATCCTTCTGCAGGGAAACTAGGTTTGACCAACAACAAACGAAGCTGCCCACTTACTGGAACACATCCTTCTCCAAGATCTGTCTTGGTATGATGTTCGTCCAACAACTCCGGTTCATTGTCATCAACAAGAAAGCCGACTCTTTATACTCACTAATCGCTGGTGGGGAACAGCACAGCACATCACTAGGTCGTGACACGTGGAAGAAGTTACTTGGTCATCATGCTTCTTTACAGCTTAAATGTAACAAGGAAGGGTTTAACTCAAGATGAGGTGATAATATCGCATTCGCCAGGATTGACATTGTGAAAAATAACGAAGCTAACTGTAATTCTTGTGATTCCAGGTTCGGGTTCGGTACAGAAGGAGGTTGTTGATAACAATAACACCTGTGGAAACGCAGCTGTACACCAAACAGATAATGGAGACAAACACATCAAAGCCATGGGTTACATATTGGTTCAGTGAATGACGTTTGGTCGACTAATCAGATTTGCCTTACAACGATGTTGCGGTTATATAAGGACATCTTAAATCTACTTTCACTTGAACCCCATTCACACCAGCAAAACATGTTTAGTTAAACTTGTTTAACTGAAAGAAAATAAGAGACAGCGAACCGTTGCAAACTAAATTTTTGGGGGGATCAAGAAGCCACTAACTTGTATTTTCAGTGTTCTAAATTTGGAGTCAACTGA